AAGTGGAGGAAGTCCATCTGGACCGGAGGTCTGAGCGCTGTCTCTGTAATGCTCACAGTGAGTCTTTGGACGCTGTGGCTCATCTGTTAAAAAAACATAAAAAAAAAATCAAAATGAGATTGGGTCTAAAGTAGAAGCAAATACATCTATAAGGGAATGGATTGGTATAGATCCTCACCTTCTCTGCTGCAGTCTACACGAGGTGAACCAGGTGGAGTCCTGGTTCCTCCTCTTTCCTGTCCTTGACTGTCCACACACCAGCAATGTCCAGAGGAATAATCACACTGGAAACAGAAGAAAAAAACATTATGTGCTGCTCCTGAAAGAAGTAGGACTCCCAAGTGTCATAATGTGAAGTTAAATGGAGGGAAAGTGATAAATGTCTAACCTGTTCTGGTAGATACTGTCCGTTTTCATCACACTGAGGTACGTAGGCTCCAACTGGAGGAAGTCCATCTGGACTGGAGGTCTGAACACTGTCTCTGTAATGCTCACAGTGAGTCTTTGGACGCTGTGGCTCATCTGTTGGAAGAAGAAAATGCATTTATACATATTACACTTAATAGAAAACTCTATTACAAAATGTATTTAGGAATTATAATAATTAAGAAACTGTTGATGGTCGGGTTATTAAAGACAAAGTGGAGGATGTTCTTTTTCCGAGTGGATCATCAAAATAAGTGGTCCCCCTAATTGTCAATCATTCTGGTGATGTGTTTACCTAAGGCCATCCTATGTGCTTTTCCCAATTTTCAGTTGCCAGTGGTGAGTCTGACATAGTGGAAAATTTAAAATCTTCTTTTGGAAAGTAAGCTTGTATGACCGATGCAAACAGCAACTTTTAAACAGAGCATGCACAAGGTGATATAGGCTCATGCACGCTTTTAATAGGAGCTCCCTCTCAACAGCAGGTACAGGGTTGTGCATGTGCATTTTTTTTATTCTTTTCAAAAATTCGCAAAAATCCTCCACTATACCTTAAAGCTCAACAAATATAATTTCATCACATCAGTTCATTTCAATTTCCTGCTTGAACCGTTTTGCAGGTCAGTCTCCAGCCTCCATATTGCTCAGGGATCCTACCTGCTATGCTGCAGTTCATACGAGGCGTACCAGGTGGAGTCCTGGTTTCTGCCAGCTCCTGCCCCCTTTCATCTACACACCAACAGTATCCGGTAGAACCGTCGCACTACAACAGTAAAGAATGAACATTTAGCTCTGAGGAGTCTCATATTGAACCGTACACACCTGAGATGAACAAGGAAAATTAGAAGTGGACACATTTTTTTAGCTTAAAACTCGCAAACCCAATATTTTTCAGACACACGAGTGCTGAAAATGAATGCTGATAACACCTTTCATTGTGGAAGTTGATATTGAGTGAGTTTGAACTTAAATCTGAGGACATAGAAGAAACGTTTCAAAATTGTCCATTTTCCACAACATGTTGGGGCGAGTGAGAGGGAGCCAGACATTTAGCTCACACAGGCTAACAATATTAGACTTAAGCTGCTGTCTTTAAATTGTAATCTCTGCCTGCTATAGGGAAATTGAAAATGTGATCGCCCTTTTTAGTTCTTGGAGTGAAAGATCTGCATTTTACTCATGCTATATGGGCTAATCTTGGTAAACACTAACATATTAGCAGCTGCCTGCTCACCATTGTGTAAAATTATCTTTTCTGCTTCAGACCTGTGATAAAGTGTCTGCCCCTGACCCATATCTTCATTCATTTTTCTTTTTCCCCTTCCTCAAATGTTTCAGAACAGCAAATATTATCAATGACAGACAGTGTACAAACACAAGGCAGTTTTCAAATGATGAATACATTCATCTTACTTAAAGCTTGTCAAACCAACGTGACCCAAATAAAACAAAAAGTAACTGCCCCTCTAAACCTGATAACTGGTTCTGCTATTCTCTCTGGGCAAAAAGCTATTAAGCATTTGAAATGGCTGGAAATAAGGGTTTTAACATTGTTGCTGAGGAAGTTTTTCTACAGACAGACTGAAGGATTTTGGAGCATGAAGGGCTGCAGACCATCCCCCCACCACTACTGTGTTTTAGCAGTATGATGCTTTTTTCCCCTAAAATTCAGTTTGATTTTTACTCCAGATGTAACGGGACAGGCACATTCATAACAGATCCCCTTTTAGATTGAGCGTCAAATATATTTTTTTCCCTAAAGTCCTTATAGAAATGGTTTGGTTAACTTTTGTTAGTCCTATGAGATCAGCAGGGGTTTGCCTCGTCTCTTTTCCCTTTTATTGAATCATGAACACTGACCTTTACCCTGGATGTACTTTTGGAACTAACCTTCCAGTCCTGGGAAGGTTATACCGCTGTTCAGTTTTCTCCATATTTGGATTATGGCTCCAGCTGTGGTTTACTGAACATTGAAACCTTAGAAAGACTTAAGAACTTTTTCAGATGGACAGATGCCTATGATAAACACAGAACTGTCTGTTGCTGACAGATGCCAGTTAGTTTGTCTCTTTTTTTAAATTTCATTTTGATCAGGCTATGATTCATTCCTTTTTTAGATCTTTTAGCGTTCCTTTTGTTGTCAGACAGATGTTTGTCTGTTTTTAAATATATATATTTAATGTCCAAAAACATATAAGACGTAACGAGAACATGAATAAACTAGGGCAGAAACAATTAATTTAATTAATCGACTATTGAAGTAACCTTCAACTAATTTAGTAATCGATTAATCGTTAACTGGAGTGTTGAGTCAGTAAAACATGCCTTTAGCTGAAAGAGAAACCCACTTGGAGCAGCACTTATCCCAAAATTGTAAAAAACAAAATATATATATAAGCATTTTGCATTTAAGATAAAAAAAAAAATGAACCCTTCATCTGTCGATATGCTCTTTCTAGAACTCCTGAAGTGGAAAAGTTTTTGTTTCACCTGATTTAATTTCGTAAAAGATCTTCTTTAATTAACCTTTAACTATCCGATTACTAATCGATTAATCAAAACGTTTTATTGACTCACAAAATAATCGTTAGTTGTAGCCCTGAAATAAACACCACCCACCACATCAAGGCTAAAGGACACAATTTAAATATTTTTCTACTAACTTCTATTTAGTTTATAAACAGAAGCACATTAAAGCTTTACCAGAAACAGAAAAAAAGTTATACCAGTGAAATGAATCTAACCTGCTCTGGTAAATACTGCCCGTTTTCATCACACTGAGGTACGTAGGCTACAACGAGAGGACGTCCATCTGGACCGGAGGCCAGAAAACTGTCTCTGTGAAGCTCACAGTGAGTCTTTGGACGCTCTGGCTCACCTGAGAGATCAAGACACACATTTGCAGAGATTATTGAGAAACGTGCAACATTAGCAGAAGAGGTAGACAGAGGACACTGAATCACTAATGTTTCGTTTATAATTAAATTTTCCTTTGGAGCTTTTAAACCTTATCAAGTGTGAGGCATGATGGTAAAGAGTAGGTAATGAGGGATTGCTTTATGCAGTAACAGGACATGGATTTATTCATATGAACATGTTTATGTATACAAAAAGTTGAAAGATGTGGACAAAATTGCCGCTACCCGTTGTGTGATGAAAGAAAAAAAACACAGTGGTCATAAAAATTCACAATAAATAAAAAATCTATGAAAGTGAACAAATTAAAGTCAGACATTGCTTTTCAAACATGCTGTTAGGTTTATTCAATGATGATTATAAAATTAGTGTATGTGCATATAGAACATTGGGGAAAGGAGATGCTTCACTCTGTCTTATGATTCAATCAGTGGAGCATCCTGTCTTATGACCTGTCAGAACAATACTCTGTTTTGTAACCATGTGTTATGTTCTGTTAATAAAAGCCACTGCAGATGGAGGGGGGGGCAGAGAGAGAGTAGTGTTTGGTTGCAGCTCTTTCTCCCCTCCTGCAGGAAGCTGTTGAAAATCCCTTTCTGTGTGTACTCAGTCCTTCTTTTACAAACCTACATTTTTGAACCGAACACATGCTTTAACAGAATCCTAAAGAACCAACAAAGTAGTACCCGTAGAAAACACTGATAATAATGTGAGCAAAGGGACATGTTAAATCAAGCAACCCAATATCTACAAACTTGTAATCAGTCAGTGGGCCTATTTATAGGGCTAGAGGTGATCATCGTGTTGTTTGGTAACATGGTATGTACCACACTCAACATGGACCAGAGAATGCAAAGGAAATTGTTTAGAAATAAAATTATATACAAGCATGTTAAAGTTAAAGGCTATATGACCATCTCCAAGCAGATCGATGTTCCTCTAATAAAGCTGAACATATTATTCAGAAATGTAAGAACCATTGGACTGTAGCCAAACTGCCTGGACATGGCTGCAGAAGGAAAATTAATGACGAACCAAAGAGACGGATAAGACTAATGCTAACAAAAGAAAAAGTTCCCAAGAGGTTAAAGGTGAACTTCAGCTTAATGGATCATCAGTGTCAGATCACACCATCAGTCATTGTTTGTGGACTTAATAGGTGACGACCAACCAGGACAACATTGTGGGAAGCAAATATTTAAAAACCCAGACTGGAATTTGTCAAACTACATGTTGAGAAGCTGCAAAGCTTCAGGGAGAATGTCATCAAAGAGTGGAACTTATTGCAAAGGCACATCAGCTCCATGTTCATAGGTGGAAAAATGAAGTACATCTAGAAAAGGACACTGTGTCTACTGTGAAACATGGAGGATGCTGTTATGTTCTGGAGCTGCTTTGTTTCATCAATTATGGGGTGGCTTGAATCTCTGCAGGATTCAATGAAATCTAAAGACTATTGAGGGATTCTAGAGAGAAATGTGCAGCTCTGGGTCAGAAAGCTTAGTCTCAGTTGCAGGTCATGGGTCTTAAAACAGGGTAATGACCCAAAACAGCCAAGAATGGCTAAAAGGCAAACATTGGACTATTCTGAAGGGGCCTTTAATAAAATCTGACCAATTTCCTATTGAGCATCTTTGGAAGGAGATAAACGTCATCAGGAAAAGGCACGAGGAGTGGGCCAAAATACCTACTGAGAGGAGCTGATATCGCATTATAAGTTACAGGAATCATTTGATTGCAGTGATTGCATCAAGAGATTAGGTAAGAACAAAATATTAAATTAAGGGTACCATCACTTTTGCCCATGCCTGTTTCATGAGTTGATTTTTTTTTTAGCATTGTGTTGAGGCATTGGTTTAAAAGCAATGCCAGACTGTAATTTGTTTGCTTGCATATATTTTTAAATTCGTATTCTTTTTTTTTTTCAGATTTAAGTTATTTCTGTGACCAATGTGGGTTTTCTTTTATTAACTAAGGAGCACCAACAAATCTATCTACATGTGTAAATACAGTCCTGTCTACTTCTGAAAGCGACATAAACTCTGCAGCCTCTGTTTTTGAGAAACGTCAAACATTACAACCTGTTCAATTTTGCTCCAAGTGATTATGAAAACATTGAATAAAAAAGGTTATAGACTTCAGGGCAATTTAACCAGTAAAAATGAAAACAACTACAGGGGGCTATTTTTTTTAAGTGTTTTTTCTTCATGGGTACTGCTGACTTTCAATAAACATTAAATATCCCACTTTAACTGCAAGCCACAAACACTGCCACTCTTTGAGACCTGGATGCATAATGGACATACAGTTACAAAAATAAGAGGAGCATTTGCCCTAAATAAAGACAAAATTGGTCATTTATACCCTGGAAATCTGCAGTACTAGATGTCCAGTTCATTCATTTAAGTGGAGCAGATCTTCCTTTTTATGGGAAAATCAAAGAGCTGTGCTGAGATGCACGTTTAAACTGTAAATACACCTTTACTTTTTTTTGCAAACATAATGCACCATAACTCTTAATTTGTATGAAATGGAAGCAAATCGTTACCATATTTAAAATGAAAAAGCATTTCCAGAAATGCTTTTTCATTTTCAGAATGTGGCTGCATTATTTGTCTCATAAATGAAATTAGTAATCAGTCATCATATTTGCATTTTAATTTTCTTCTTCAAGACTGCTCATCCTTTTACTTAAAATGAAAAAGAAAAAGACATTTGAGATTTATTTTTCAAAATGTACCCCAGCAAATGCATACCAAAATTTAATTTGAAATGTAAAATTTGAAAGTGAAAAAGCATTTCCAGAAATGCTTTTTCATTTTCAGAATGTGGCTGCATTATTTGTCTCATAAATGAAATTAGTAATATGCAGCCATATTCTTAAAATGAAAAAGCATTTCTGAAAATGCTTTTTCATTTTAAATATGGTAACGATTTGCTCCCATAGTATGAAGCTTCACCTTCTCTGCTACAGTCTACACGGAGTGACCCAGGTGGCGTCCTGGTTCCCAACCTCTCCTGTCCAATGCTGTCCACACACCAACAATGTCCAGTGGAACCATGGCACTGGGAACAGTAAACGTATGTAAAACAGGGAAATAGCTTGATGTGAAAGCAAAAACAGAGAAACATTTAATAGACGCTAACCTGTTCTGGTAGATACTGTCCATTTTCATCACACTGAGGTATGTAGGCTCCAATTGGAGGAAGTCCATCTGAACCGGAGTTCTGAACGCCGTCTCTGTGATGCTCACAGCGAGTCTTTGGACGCTCTGGCTCATCTGTTGGAAGATGATGTTGCACATTTACACTATTCATACAGAACGTTCATTGATCTCGGTATTAACATCTAAATAAAAGCTGTAGGCATCTCTGTGGAGGAAAAAATATAATTGTCTTTGAACAGCTGTACAACAATAGGAATATCGTTGATCTAAATATGTTACATAAGTATGTGAGGTGATTCTTATCAAAAGACTTCATATAGGAAATATGAACCTGCTCTGCTGCAGTCCACAGAAGGTGTACCAGGTGGAGTCCTGGTTCCTGCTCTCTCCTGCCCCCTACTGTCCACACACCAACAATGTCCAGTAGAACCATGGCACTGGAAACAGTAAGGTTGTTGTTGTGATGCTGTTTAAGTGACACCAAAATCATCAGGAAGTTCTCAAAAGATACAAACCTGCTGTTGGAGATACTGTCCATTTTCATCACACTGAGGAACAAAAGCTCCAAGAAGAGGCCGTCCATCCGAGTCTGTGGTCTGAACACTGTCTCTGTGGTGCTCACAGAGGCTTTTTGGACGATCTAAGTCATGAGGTTGAGAAAGATGCAAAGGATAGCCCATAAGAAAATAAATAGAAGATGGGAATCTCTAAGTAATTCATAAAACTGACAATTTGAATGATAAAAAGGAGTAGTGTTCCCTGCTTATGACATTTATTAACCTATAAAAATCTATTTAGGAGCTTAGAAACGTTAAAGGAAGCCTATAAAGAACTGAGTCTACAAACATACAACCACTTAAGACCTGCTTGTTATATTTCTCTTCAACTTGTCAGGAGTTACTACGACTATGGCGCTGGCCACCAACCCTGCTCTTTACCACCCACCTGTTTTTCCAGGCATTCCAAGCCTATGACCCAGTAACCTCAACAGCACATAACTCACAAGTTCACGTAAACACGCCATCTGAGTTGGCTCTTAGTTGAGGAATTAGTGGGTTCACAGGTCGCTTTAAAACGACGTGACATAATAAACCTGCTTATGCTCTCGGATATTATCCATCAATAAGATACCTTCCGGGGGGTCGTGTGAAGTGGGGAAGAACCACTTACCAGGTTTGTCGCAGTCTATGGGGGGTGAACCAGGTGGAGAACGGGTTCCTGGTCTTTCTTCCCCCCTACTGTCCACACACCAACAATATCCAGTAGAGCCGTGGCACTAAAAAAGGAGAAATCTTGTCAGGATGTTTCGTTATGCAGATGATACAAAGATTTATATAGATGTGTTTTCTCATAAAAAATTGCTTTTTATTTCAATATCAAACCACAGGAGACAAAAGAACTGAGCTCAGCAAGACAAAAAATAAGGTACTCCTCAGTTTTAAGGCACCTTCTAGCAAATTGAATAAAATAACACTTCAGTTGGTACAATGTTCAATTTCTTTCTCATATATTTTGCCTGGTTAATGTGAAATCCAAGCATGGAAGAAGGGGAATTTAAACCTCGTTGTTGATGGTTTCTTATGTTTCAAAAAATGCTAATTTACTGGGAATTTCACCAACAACCACTTCTCAGATTCCAAAATGGAGAAAATATCCAGCAAGCAACATCTGTGCATAAATAGACTTGGTGGAGATGCTAGGAAGACAACAGCAGGTGAAATAAGCCCTATTCTATGTACTGACCTGCAGAGGTCTGTACTGCCCATTTTCATCACACTGAGGTACATAAGCTCCATTTATTAGACGTCCATCGTTACTGTCGGTCCGAACACTGTCTCTGTGGTGCTCACATTGAGTCTTTGGGCGATCTGGTTGAAAGTGAAACCAAACATAACACCCAGATTAACACCCAGGGAATGATTACTTTATCTAATTAACTGACCCAGGTAAATAAGGTTTTACCTGGTGTTTCACATTCAACAGGCGCCGCTCCAGGGGGAGTCCTGGTTCCCGGTCTTTCCTCTCCTCTACTGTCCACACACCAGCATTGTCCAGTAGAACCATGGCACTGCAAAGAATCAGTCATGTGCAGAATCAGCTCATCTCGTATATTCAGAGTTTCTAAAGACCCACATTTTTAAAAATGTTGAATATATTGAAATAGCTTAAAAAATTTGTATAATCAAAAATGAATTTTGAATTATTCTAAAAATTACAGTGAGAAAATAAGTATTTGAACACCATGATATTTTGCAAGCTCTCCCCACCGATGTTTTATACTAATAAATAATAAAAAAAATAATCATATATTGTAATTTATACAAATTTCTTTCCGATTATGTCTCTCACAGTGGACATGCACCCCTCCATGATTGAAAGTGGGAGAACTTGCAAAATAACAGGGTGTTCAAATACTTATTTTCCTCACTGTATATCACAGATAGTATCAGGACAGAATAATATACTTCAACTCTTTATTTCTGACTTTTTTAAATATGTTTTGGTGAAAGTAAAGAAAAGATTACTTTCTCAGAAAATTTTAAAATTACATATGGCCAATGCAAAAGGATTTTTATTTAACTGCTTATGCAACAGAAAGTTCAAACCACCTCTCATGATTTATTACTAAATAGCTGAAGACACTGAATAAGGTTTGCAAAGAACAGAAGGTTAAGTGGAAGAAAAAGTTTAATTATAAATGATATATATTCATAAAGCTGATTTTTAGTCCAATTCAAATATAATACTGGGTAAAAAAACAAGAAAGTCACTGTTTTAAAGGAAAAAAAATAAAGATATATATATATATATATATATCTTAAATATATTGAAATATTGTTTGATATGATGCAAGAAAACTGGAATTGTTTTGTCAGTCAGTCTTTGGAAAGGATAAAGATCAAAAACACATGGAAAAATAAACACGACACAACTCAACCATTTTAGTCATTTAGGCTTAAATATAAGAGAACATTTCTGAGTGAATACTTAGGGATAAATAATAGGGGTTTGCACCAACATAAACACCATATAGATTAAGGAAAACAAATATCCGCCAAAAAAAAGCCTAATCCTTAGACTCCTGTTTACATTTAAAAGTCTTACGTTTAAACATGAATGCAACCAATCTATTAGTGAAAGCCTACCTGCCGTGGTTGATACTGTCCATCAGAATCGCACTGAGGGATGTAAGCTCCAACACTTGTTTGTCCTTCACTCTGTAGACGTTCTCTGTGCTGCTCGCATTGGCTCCTCAGCCGATCTGTTCAAATTTACCAAACAAAGCCACACGGTGTGACATTTGTGACCGTCAGGAACTAAGTGGGCAACTATACCAGCCTGCAGTGTACCAACCTGACCGGGGGGAACACTGGAACCCATCCCCATAATATTCAGGCAGGCACTGACACTGGAAGGACCCGAGATCATTGATGCATCTGGCATTGATGTGACATGGAGAGGAGCTGCACTCATCTATGTCTGAGTGAACAAAGCAAAAGAAGATTCAGATCAACTAAGTCAGGAAAAAAATCACAGCCTCATGCTTCAGCGTAGCACATCTGCTAACCATACCTCCTAAATTAGGGTAATTGACTCCAAGGGGGTCACTAAGTTTTCTTCAAGAGCGTTTTTTTTTTCTTCTTCAGGCATTTAGATGATTTATTTTCATTTCTAATGCCGTTGTCAGGATTCTTTATTATTATACATTTAATCCAGCTATCCTAGTTCTCAGGCTGCTAAGCTATCAACTTAGCATCAAATCCTTTGTGTGGGGGTTTACTTTCTGTGCATTCAACATTAGTTGTTTAATGGTCCTTGAACGGAGGTGTTTCCAACTAAAACACTGTTTCTGTTGGATTAACAGGGATTCATCCTCCCATGCAAACTAATCTGCAAAACTAATTGGAAAACTGATGTCAGATTTGATCTAAAATGTCTGATATTTTCATGCTCATGGAAACACTCTGTTAAAAGTGTCTGTAACTCATTGGTTAATTTCACACAGGTCAATGTTTTCATACCTTTTGTTCCCTGTTTTAGTAACATCACATGATCAAGCCTTTTTTAACAGTATAAAGTAAGTAATCTTAGGGTCTCTGGGGTTTTGCAGCTTTTCTGGTGTGAGTGAGCTTCCTGTTGCAGAGAGGATCTTTGCTAGTGGCTGGGCCGACCCATGTTGCTGCACAGCTGATATATTTCTCAGTTAACATGACTAGCATGTATATAAGGAGGCTAATGATAATTTCTCTTCATCCGATGATTACCCATGATGGTATTCCTGCCAGGATTATCCTTCTTGTGGAAATTTGTCTTCTTGTAAATCTCTGTAACTTGGACTCTATCATTGTTCTAGACAAGCAGTGAACCTCAGTTCGTCTCTGATCTTCATGGAAAAGGTCTCACCCGTGTGCTCAGTTCTCAGTCTTCATCACCTGTCTACCTGCTCTCCAGCATGACGTCTCTTGCAAATACCAACATTCTCAGATCTAACTCACATTCTCCTGGATCTCAGGGGTTCAGTCTGCAAAATCCACTGATTCAAACTCCTATAGATCCATGCTACCTCCCCTTCATCTCTCAAGTATGCAAATCAATCCGTTTTCATCAACCAACTCCTTCCTGATCGGTCTGATTTCTCCCCTCAGACCAACCAGAAATTTCAACTAACTTCCTGCAGTTCTTGTTGCTTTTTGCAAATAAAACGTTAAAATTCACTGGTTCTCCATGTGATTCTGCATGTAGGTTAAAAAAAATAAAAAACTACAAACCTACATGGCATTATATGATTTGTGCTGAAACTTTATCAGGTCAAAATCAGTATCGTACCGGAAATTAAAAAAATACATCGGGGCATCCCTAATTTTACTAGATTGAATGTTTATGTTGTAAAATGCTTTGAGTCATTATTACTTGATAATTTTGCAAACTAAGATCGTCGATTACTCTGTCAAAGATGTAAGATACTGACAGCACAATACTGCACTGCAATCTATGAAAATAAGTATTTAAAAAGTGTTATATTTAAGTTAAAAAAGGTAACGATGTAAAACTGTTTACCTTAAAGTATTGATTGAATAGATGAGATTTTTAACCATGCATATATTGGCTCTCATTAAGCATACTGTATATCTGCTTCAACGTAGATTTTGCAGCCAACCATTAATGTTGCGCAAGGATGTAAAACCTAATTAAAGACAGAAATCAAAGCAGGGAGACTTTAACAGCTACTGTTACTATTAAAACCCATTATCCCTGCATTTATGTTTTGAAACTTAAATTTCATACAGATTTGTGTTTAAGTTTCTATACATTTTGGTTGTAAAATGTGGTGAGGATGCTTTGAAACAGACAGGGAAGCTGTCAGAGTTAAGAAAGATGGATTATTTTTTAGCTTTAAAGCAGACAAAGACACAAGTAGAGCTATAAACAAACGTTTTAGATATGTCAGTATGGTCAGATGAAAGTCTTAGACACAGATTCCCTGTATGACCTCTAAATATATTCTTCTTGAGATTAGCCAAAAACTGAAACATCTAGATGTTGTCAGTAAGTAGAGATATGCCCCAATATACTTTCACTAGTAATTGGAAAAAATCCAGGAAATGATGCCTGATTAATCAAATTGATATCATTTTTTTAAACTATTTATAATTTCAGCCTCCCCTTTTATAATTGTATTTCATGGTTGATCTCTGGATAGTTTTCACCAGTTTTTCCTGCTAGAATTACAACATCCCACAGCATGATACTTCCCCTGCTATGTTTTACTGTCCAAATGGTTTGTTTCAAAAAACATATTCAATTTTCCCTGCATGCTGTTAGGTCCTACCATAGTTTGTTTGACACATTTTGTGGCTGTAATATGACAAAATGCAGCAAGCTGTAAAAAATATATGCAGAAAATAATTTGTCTAACTGACTACCCAGTTTCAAAGTGAATAAAAGCAGATTATATATATTTGGTCTTACCAACGCAAGTATGGCCGTCGTAGCTGGATTCAAAGCCGCTCTGGCACTGGCAGCGGTGTGTACCAGGAAGGTTGAGGCACTGGGAGTGTTCGCCACAAGAGCTCAAACCCTCTGCACACTCATCAATGTCTGCATCAAAGGAAGAGAGGGTACATAAGACACCCTGTAAAGCAGGAATACACCATATGTGGGGCAATAAAAGCAGTAATTACTTTGTTTACTATTCCTATTAACTCCCTGCATACTACCCTGGGTCAGTTTTAGATGGAAAGCATTGTTCTATAAGGACAGTGAAACGATGCAGATGGGAAGAGAGGCTGAGCTGAGGGGCCTTCTTGGCGTTGTCAGCAGGAGATGGAGACCACCTGCTGGCCTCATTATAAACCCCTCACCAGCTCAGAGTCTTAACATGTCCCCTTTAAAAAGCCCAATGAGAAGAGAAGGATAACACTTCTGGTTCAATTCATCCAGATGGAACTTGGACCCTCAACACAAGCCTGACAAATGCTGAAGAAGCACAGGCGCGTTACCTTGAACCATCAGCCGATTGTAACACATTTACATGAAACAAACCCAGACAGTCAGAATTAGTCCTTCACAACCAACTGCTACTTACATGCTTAACTCAGATGCTTTATCATCTTTCCACCCTGGATTAAATCAATAACTTCTGATGAATGTATGCACGTTTGTGTGGGGGATCTCAGAAAGACATGTACCGTTACAGTTCTGTCCATCTCCTCTATAACCAGTGGCACACTGGCACCGGAAAGCTTGTCCCTCCAGTGGGATGCACTGGGCTGTGGTGTCGCAGTCATGGCTCCCAGTATAGCAGGGGTTCAACAGCTCGACCACAGAAGTATCTGCTACAAACATGGAGAACAAAACAGAACCATTGAAAGTTAAAAAAAGCATTGATTTGACTCCAGAGCAGCGTTAGCATGAAACGAATCATTTAAATGAGCATTTCCTGTTTTGGCTTATTAAGGGTAACCAGAATGAGTTCTATTCTAGACAAAATTAGGAACATAGAACGCATTTTCTTTATGCTCCCTCAGGTGTTTCTTCATAATATCCTTGAATCTTGATACTTAATGGTATAAATAAGGAAGCAGTGTGGTTTATTTAATTAAAACCTTGCAGGGTAAATTTAAAGAAAGCAGAAATAAATGTTTTGTAATTTTTCAAAGAGAAATAACTTTAGTAATCCTGACTGAAAAGTTTAGTCAGGTATAAATCAAACAGTGCCACCACAGCAGCGCCCGTCTTGTCAGACCTCAGATTGACTGAAAGCTGGAAAATTCATTAATTACATGAAAACTTAACCAGGGACACATGTAAAAAAAAAAGCTCCAGACAAATTCCCACGTGTCTGTTTCCTCTAAAGAGAGGACTCCCCTTCATGTTCTCAACACACACACACACACACACACACACACACACAAAAACAAAACAAACAAAAAAACATATGGATGAGGTTAGGCGCACATGTCCTGGACGTTTAACAGGAGACAACATACAAGCAGCAGAGGGGGTTTGTGGAGGCTCCTCATTCCACCGTCTGGTTCAGACATAAACTTTCAAAAACAATTGAATATAAAAAAAAACCTCAGACTGATTTCCAGGGAATTCTAGAAAAGAGAAAACTCTCGGAAATCATTACAAAAGAATGCAGCAAGATGAATAAATGTGCAGAGGATTAAAAACAGCTCGGATCGATTCTAAAGAACAGGATGGGAGTCATGTTGGAGTCCTCTGTGCCACAAAAATGGTCTAACAGGATTGTGGTGTCTCATATAAAACAACACTGTGGGCCTACTTTCCAGCAGACGATTTGAATGTGCACAAAGTTTAACATAAAACAAGACATCTTTTTAATGATGTTTGAAGGTTTTAGGCATCTATGAAACACGTTTTCTACTATAAAGAACATAAACTTGCCCCTCATCTCCCCGGGCCAGAGAGCAATTTTGGCTCATTATCAGAGAGAGAGAAAAAGACTCTTCAAAGTGTAATGTGGCCAGGAAGGAGGGCAGATGAGAGGCAAAGATCCACATGGATTGGGGGAGAAAAAAGAAAAAAGAAAAAAAAAAAGACTGACGGATAATTAGAGACAGGGAGAGAAGCGAAGGCGAGCAGGACAGAGAGGTTAGGAACACACACATCCCACACACACGCTGCACACCATCAAAGTGATGGCTGCTGCTTCCCACCTGTTGCTTTTCACGTGCTTCCTCCTCTTCTCAATGCACAAATTCAGCAGATTCCTCTTTCCTAAATCCTTTTTAAGATATTCCTATAATTGGAACTTTTTTTTTGCATGTGTAATCAGCCCTCTTTACCTTGAATTCCTTAAAACAATCCAATCCTACTGTAAAACTTTATCTGTATTAATCCGAATGTTCTGTAAATACTAAAAAGCCAGAGCTATAAAAGAATGATTTTTGAAAGCCTCCCAAAAGTAAATATACTTTATGATTAGTTTTTATCTCTTCAGGGCCTTAAGCATGTCTGCAATCTCAGATTCTCATGACCTCACGGGGCAGCTATTCTGCCCAGCAACCCCCCTCTTCAAGAAAATCTATCATTGGCTTAGATATTATTTCCCAGAAAGTGGAAGATCCGTTAACACTCACCACTTAAGTCGTGTTTACAGAGCCTCTGATCCCGGCAAGATCTTCCAGCTGTGTTCAGAGTATATCAGTGTGTCAGCAGCAAGAGCGTGCTGGAGATATTTAATGGTAAGCTTTTTAATCAGAGCACTGATGTTCCAGTGACAGAAACTTGGTCTGCGACCAACACGTAAGGAAAAAAGCCTCCTTCGAGTTCTCCCCTTAAAGATGGAGTGAAGATCATGAGGTTTTTGGATGATTGCTAAAGAAGTGCAATGGAAAGTGGCTTTTAAAAGTATTCACACCCACCAAGACTTTTGAAACATAGTAGTTTTTTCACCTGGATCAGGAAAACTGGTCAGAACTGATGGAAAGGAGGGAGCTTAATACTTTTAAAGGTAGTTTTTAGACTTTTTTTTAGCAGAAAAATATCTTTTAGGTAAGATCTATCAAACGATAATCTGAAAACACACAAAAATATTTCATACACACTGCAAAAACGATCCAGAAATAAGTACAAATGTCTTAAGTTAAGCGTATTTACCCTTAATTTGAGCAGTCACACGTATTTTTAAAGCTAAAATAAGAGAATTAGATAATATGCACTTGAAATAAGACAAACAATAGTTATTTCTTATTTTAAATGTAAATTGTCTTGTTGCATTGTCAAAGTGTCTCACTTACCTTCTCAATTCAAGAAAAAATGCACTTAATATAAAGAAAAATGTTGATAGATTTCAGTTTTTTGCAGTGTAGTGCAATATTTAAGTATGCTTTACTGATATGATTTGATTATGTTTTACTGATAAAAAATGTTTGATTATGTTTTGATATGACGTAAAAAGGCAGCAAAATTACCAAAAACAAACATTTTAATCTTGGTATTTAAGTCTTGAAACCACAAAACCAAACATTTCCTGTGAAAATAAACAATAAGCTACGTGGCTTTAGTTCAATGTTTGTCCTGCTCATTGGAGCCAAATCCCTTTACCTAGAAATGTTTGCAAAGCACTGCGGGCAAAAAATGCAATGATAGAGAGAGACAAAAAATGTGTGAATCACTTTCAGTGAACTGTGACGCAAAGAGTGACAGAAAGCAGAAACATAAATAGTAATTGTATATTCAGTGCGTTTTGCATGTGTGCGTTTGAGACTGAGTTCAACTGTAACCATTACTGTTCTGGGTGTCGGTCCAATTGGCCACTCAACTCGCCTGGGAGGGATTTAAGCAGAAGGCAAATGCTTTAAGTTAAACATGCAGCGTTTGGTTAGGTCCTCCACTTAATTCACACTGAAATGGTTTTAAACTGAATCAGTGAAATATAAACAACATTTTAAAACATTGGATCAGCTCAGTCAAGTCTAACAAGCCTCCATTCAAATGATTGGATAATATAGATGGACTCCTAGAGGGCTGTAAAAATGTATATATATATATATATATATATA